CACCATCCACCGCCAACTCTTGGGCTACTCTTTTACCAACGAATAGTGGGATTGACCGTCACATTATAACGCCCCCACCGGCGTGAAAGGGCGAGCATGTTTGGTGTGACGGGGATTCGACCCCCAGATTGCGAGTCGAGCGCCCTAACCACCTGGCCATGCCGGGCCCGACCATAGTTTAGTGAAGCAAAGTCAGGAACTTGAAAGGTAAAAAAGCGAAGACAATGCCAGGTCGCCAGATGAAATCAATGCTCGTGTTACTATGCCTAGTCACAGTCGCACTATGATAAGTAAGAGAAGAAATGGATTTTCCAAACTGAACGTCATCTTATACGCATTTAGGCTAAACGGTCAAGTAAAAGACTCTTACATTTGAATTAATGGCCACATAGAAGATAACTAACCACCAGCACCCTCCGCCACAAGACTTTTGTCCGGCTCTTTTAACCTAAAAATGAAGTTCATTGTCATTTTTATAACGTCTCTAAAACTGGACTCTTCGATCTTCTAACTACCAGGCCATGCCCGAGTCGTTAAAAGACAAAATTGAAGAGACTTGAAAGTCAAGCCTGAATGATATTAGACTTATAATGCATGGAAATATCGCGTACGTATTGAAACTGTTGTTTATTTGGCTTATATGCAGATTTAGAAGTAAACGCAGGATGATATGAACAATAATATTTCTTAGATGGACTTTCTGAGCCTTCATTTTTTTATTTGTTTAATTCGTGTATGTCGAGCAAGAATTTTAAATTTGCTCAAATTTACCTATACGTCTGTTAAAATTAATATGGACAATAGATGGCGCCTATTGTTACTAAACATACAAATATTTTAATAAAAAATGTACTCACAGTAGGTTTTATATGAAAATTTCTACAAATAAAAGTAATATATGATTTCTTCTCATCACTGGTTTTAGAATAATATAGTTTCTATTATAATTTAATTATTTGTTTCAGGTTGGGTTACACCAATTTTAATAATATCAAAATCACAATGCCTCGCGTACACTTACAAGTAAAATCAAAGTTTATTTACGTAGTGAAGTTGAAAGTGAACTAATAATTTCCAGGAAAGAGGCCCGGCGCCAGGTTTTCTGTGGTCCTAGTGCAGAGATTTATATACAACAGAACCTCTTAAATCTTATTTCAGTTTTACAGGAAATATAAAATGGGATAATATGTTTGAAAATGTATAGAAGTGATCAAAAACAATAATTCTATAATACATTCAAAGTTTGTTTTGAACTTCGCGTAAAGCTACTCAAATGCTGTTTGCGCTAGCCGTCCCTAATTTAGCAGTTATAGACTAGATGTAGGGCAGCTAATCATCACCACCCACCACCAACTCTTGGACTACTATTTTACCAACGAATAGTGGGATTGGACGTAGCAATATAACGGCCACATAGCTAAAAGGGCGAGTATATTCGGTGATGAGGATTCGAACGCGCGACCCGCACAGTGCGAGTCCAGTGCCTTAACCACCAGCCTCTATAAAGAGTACCCTGGTGCTGGTATTGCCAGAAAATAAGTTGTTTAGTCGTTAAAGCTATCTTTTTTTTTGTTATCTAGTTTTAGTTTAATTTCATACTTAATATATGAGTATAGTACGTTGGTTCACTTATGTTGTCTAGTTATCGTTATGTGCCGCGCTACAAAATTTACAACTAATCTGATTTAACGTTAGAAACTTTATAAACTTAAGACTTGAAGACACGTTGTAGTCATACAGATTTCATGATGCAAATTATGAAGTTCGCTTATGAACAGGGCTTACATAACTATGGTAGATGCTTTAATATACCAGACTTATCGTTACAAGAACTACTTTATTTCTGGTTGTCTCATTCTAGAGCAGTCAGGACCGACTGTTGACAATGATTTAAATATGTATTTTCTAATCTGCAAAAAAATATGTCAGTCTGAAAGGTTTTGTTTATCTCTGCCTGTCAACTTCAAGAGATAGATTAAAAACGCATCATCGGAAGTCATCTTTTATTACCAAGGTGAAGTTCAAATCTGACGATTATCTCATTGACCACTGACTTCTGTTACGTTCCTTCAAGTTTAGAATATTAAGTTCCCTAGATTTTATATTACCATTGATTTAATTAATTATTAGAGACACTTGGTGCATTTGGTGGGAAATGTTCAAAACGTGTGATTTCTTATGTTTAGTTATCACAGAATAAGTATCGATGAAAATAGCTTAAATTTCAAATTCTAAGTGATATAAATCATATAAGAATAATTACACGTGCCACAAAGATAACGGACATTTTCACGTAAATTCAGAAGACTTAAATTTCGGCATTTAAAATGTAATAAAAGAATAAATGTTATAGATGCATTATCTTCTCAAACAAATAAAAATTTCAAGTTAAACTTCCGCAATGGAAGAATGGGAATTTTATAGTCTTGAATAAATTAATCATTGATGCAATTTTCTTTATAGGTGAGAGCCATTCTGCCTGAGAAAGGACGCAGACCGGAAGTGACGGCCGCAAAATTTATCTTCAACCGAAACCTGTTAAATAACACCAAGTCTAAAGAGTGGGCGGTAGAAAAGTTCTGGTGGCTTCAACACTGGTGCTCTTAGTCATACGTGTGTTGGTATTGTGTTGATAACCGTTAAATTACATGCTGTTTTGTGACGTACACGTGGTCTTGTTTAGTACACAGAATACTTCTGTTCCCTATCAACCAACACCTGTCATACAGGTCAAGCCAGACTCGATATGATGCTATCAGTATAGTCTTCACGATATAACTTTAACGACACAATAAACTGAGCAGAATGGGCAGAGTGTTGACTTCACAAACGAACCAAATATATTTTTCACAATGTGTACGGATCATTTGAGGCCAGAAACGTGTGATTTTTCTTCTAAAGTATCTCTCATTCCACCTATTTTACGACAAGAAATCCTACTTTGTGTGATGTTTTGCATTTGAAAAGGCCATTTCCCCAACTGTAATTTTGTCGGGTATTATATACATTTTAACCTCTAGATGGACGGTAAATGTCAGCGTTAACTCTCGGGTGATGTCTGTTTGTAAGGAGCTAGTTGTGCGAACACAGTATGTTCTCTAGCCAAGCCTTGGTGAAACTGTTGCTCCTTTGTGCCTTTCTTCTTTATTAGGGAGAATTGACATCTGTATTGAACTCTTGCCGTCGCAATTACAGCTGTGATCAATATGCTCGAAATCGCGAGTTTGGGAGGAATTCTATACGTCTACTAATTAACGCTTATGAAGTTTAAAAAAAAAGGTAATGACCATGAAAAAAACTGTTGACAATATGTTAAACACGTCATCCGTATTGGAAACACATATAAGTGTAGTTACGATTTAGACGTCAAGGTTGCATGTACTATGTTCCACAAGTCATGCTGAAATATATAACATTATCAACCAAGCTAACAGCAGGAGGGGCCATTCGACAACGTTAACGATTACAAAGAGAGTACGTTAAAAGTTAGCCTACTGAGCAGAACCTGCGGGCCAGGTTAGTAGAAGGTCTTCAGTACGATGCCGTGCAACTTACCATATAGCACAGCATAGCGTACTGATTAACTTCCTCCGTTCTCATTTTCTTCTGTATGCCATAACGTATGACCCAGTCAAACAGAAACTTGATTTTTTTTTCTTTTTCATTTATTAAATCCAGTAAAAAAAACGCATTATTTCCATAACATCATGTCAGCATCAGTTAACGTAGATCCCCCTGTTTCACCAAGTCCTCCCACCCAAAAGATGAACGGAGGAATCAACACTCGTCCAAATTTTAACTTCAGTTTTCTGAACACGTCTAAGCATAGCTTAGCTACTGGGTCACCTACAGGGGGCGCTGGACTAACCAATCTCACGATGACTAGCACTCCTGGAAAGCCGCTCTTGGATTTGTCGCGTGCAACTACAGGTCATCCGAGCATGAACCTATCCCGCCACACTTTGACCCCAGCTAAGACTGACCTCCATACCAAAGACCCCGGTGATCACGGCATATATCACACTTTAGCGTCTTTAGCTTTATTGTGTCTCTTGGCTCTAATGATGGCTTTCTTAGCCCTGTTCTTCCTACAGAAGATTGGTCCCTTGACTTTAAATATGGGCAACGGAAAATCATTTAGTACTGAGTCACCTAAAAAAATCGTAGTGGGAAGCGAAGAGTTTATTACTGTGTACCAAGTATCAGTTGCTTTGAGTACACTTACTGTATCCCTGAACCTATGCTGCCTCTTTGTGTGTTCTATACAGTTCCTCTTCGCTATCAAACTGATGAAGGCCCCTCAAGGAGAAGAAAGGTAAGAATCTTGACTTTTAGTTACCTACTACGAATCCCGGAACACAATTATACAGCGTATTTAAAAGATAGTTTTCAATCTAGCGATCCGTGTGTTAAAATAATCAATGGCAATTTCAGGTTTTAGGTTATTGTTTTCTTAGTGCTTCGAAATGAGCTATCTGCACTCTGTCCACCACGAGAGGAATCGAATCTCGGATGTTCGCATTGTAAGTTCGTAAAACTCCTAGGAGGACCAGATTTTAAGTGCTTTGGAAAAGAAAGTTGGGTATCGTACCATTGACATTTCTGAGCATTTTTGTATTGACTTGTTTGTTTGCTTTAGAACTATTTCGCTTTTCTTTTTCAAATTTTTTAAAAGTTGTCTCGGTAGTTTTTTGCTTACAAAATTTCCGTTCACGGTTCTTTAAAGATCAGCGCCACACTGCATGACTGACTTTATGTTTGGACAGTGAAGTAGTTGTATTACTACACTAGTGTATTTCATACAGAACGAGTAGACGATTTTTTATGTTACTTTGAGTATTACGTTAAATGTGATGTTCTGTAAAGTTACTCCTTGACAGATATCAAACCATTACTGTTTGTTTTGTTGTTAAGCATAAAGCTACACAATGGACTATCTCTGCTTTGCCCACCACCACTGGTATTGAAAACCAATTTTTAGCGTTATAAGTCTTCAGACATACCACTGAACCACTGAGAGGCTCAAACCAACACACAAACAATTTCAGATATGAACTAAAACGAGCCACATTCATGTGTGTAAGTATATATATATATATATATGTGTGTGTGTGTGTGTGTGTATGTATAAACGCCGAAAAGGGTTCTGTTCGCCCTCCAACAACGTACGCCCTTGGTTTTTTCTCCCTGTCTTTTTGCCACATATATGTATAAATGTAATAGGTTTGTTGACAAACGAACCTAATAATTCGTGCAAATAAGGATGTAATTACAGAACAACAAATTAGTTTATCTAAAAAAATCTGAACCCTTACAGGTAATAGCATGTATTCATAGTTGGAGTAACTTATTTGAAATTCTTGTTTTATTGAAGTTTTGCGCTAGATGTTGATTGATAATTTTAATAGTGTGTCCTCTCACCCCTACTCTTCTATCTACATTTAAACAGCTTCTGAATGGTAATATTGATATATCTGGCATGAAGTCGGTTACTGCAGGTTTGATCAGCTCAGCTGTAAAATTATCCACTCTGCATATTTCAACTTAGGGTTAATCCGCTTTATATGAACCATGATCCAGGTTCCGTGCTGCCCTTGGAATTACCAGTTCCATCATCGATCGTGCAGTGTTTGATAGTCATGATTGTTCAGTTTTGCCCAACACAACAATTTCCATTGTAACAAGCTTCTGCGAAGGATTGCGAGGTCAGCCTTAGACCACACAGACTCTCCAATGTAGCGGATGTTGGTTTCCAAAACCACGTTTAACTTCAAGTATCTCCCCAGTGGCACAGCAGTATATCTGCGGACTTACAACGCTAAAAACCGGGTTTCGATACCCATGGTGGGCAGAGCCCAGATAGCCCATTGTGTAGCTTTGTGCGTAACTTCAAACAAACAAACTTCAAGTAAAAATATGCATATAATTTTGTTTGTTTGTTATAAGCATAAAGTTATATAATGGGCTATCTGTGATCTGCCCATAATGGGTATCGAAACAAACCCGATATTTAGCATTATAATCCCTCAGAATTACCGCTGAACTAAAAGACATACAAGTCTATTGAAGGTACATCAGGGGGCTTGACATTTTTGTAATAAAATGAAAATATTGTTATTCGTGTTACTTCAGCCATATGTTTGATAGAAACATCCGTTGATTTCCATTTATGGCTGAAACTTGCGAACTTTTGACTTGTCAGCTTTTGTCAATCTCATATCTTTGTTTAAATATTGTCTCGTTAATGGAACCAGGAAATATGTCCAGCTTTTTTTCACAATTTTTGGGTTAGAAGGCTATGTTTTATAATCACAGCCTTCATTTTTTGAATGATGACGTTGTTCCGAATTGGCTTGGGGTGTGGCTTCAGAAGCCATTGCTTTTCTAAGCTCTAAGATGTGCATGATATTACGTCCGTTTCCATGGAGAACATTTAAAGGCTTCTTTGTGTCCTTTGGCTGTACTTCTTTGAACAATCTCTCTTTATGAATACCATGTGTTTGAAAGGGCTATGGCATATTTACCAGCCATAAGTTAACTAGGCAATATTGCACTGTTGAATGGAAGGGAATTTGATGCAATATATTTATACAGATGCTAAACTCGGTGACTTGTCACTTCATTAGTATATCCAAATCGTTCTTATCAAGTGCGATTAACCTTATGGAAATGAAGCCGAATATTTCAACGTGAAATGTTGCTCAAAATGTAGTGACGGACAAACAAAAGATGTCTTTTGTTTATTTTATCCACACGCGACTTTTATGTCTGCAGAGTTTAATTCTTGTTAAGCGCAAAGTTACACAATGGGCTATCTGTACTGTTCTCACCACGAGTATCAAAATCCGGTTTTAAGCGTTGTAAGCTTCAGATATAAAAAAAAACAAATAAATATTTCTTTGCATGCAAATTGTATTCATTGGTAAAATTTTTTTCGATAAATGTAAATTACGCAACTTTGCAAACCATCTTAACATAACATAATATTTTGAGACAACATGGGACCTATTGATCCATCTCGGCTGTTCCATCTTCAAAACTAAATTAAAATGATTTAAAAATAAAATACAAAAATTTTAAACCCAGCCTTTTTCATTCATATACTTATCAAGCTTTTTCTTAAACTCACTTAAATTGACTGCCTCTACAACATCTGAAGGCAACCCATTCCAAAGGCCAACCACCCTGATAGAAAAATAAAACTGTCTTAGCTGAAGATGATTCCTACCTTGGCAAAATTTATATTTGTGTCCCATAGTCCTACTATTCTCATTGTTAAGTATATAAAAAACATTATCAATTCCCTTTACAGTCTTAAACACCTCAATCAGATCCCCCGTAACTCTTCTTTTTCAAGAGAAAACAATTTGAGAGATTTCAGCCTCTCGTCGTATGACAACCCCTCCATCCCAGGTACCATTTTAGTAACCCTTCTCTGAACCCTTTCCAACAATTCGATGTCCTTCTTAAGGTAAGGAGCCCAAGACTGAGCACAATGTTCCAAATGTGGCCTAACCAGTGACGTGTACAATGAAAGTATAACCTCTTTAGACTTGCATTCAATATTTCTATAGATACAACCTAAAATCCTATTTGCCCAACCACTAGCAACAGCACACTTGGATGGCTTTAGAGACGGATCGACTATTACACCAAGATCCCTTTCCTTCATAACACTATTTAGGTTATTCCCATCCAACTTATACTTATACTTCAAATTATGATAACCCACATGCATTATCTTACATTTATTATAATTAAAACCCATCTGCCATTTATTTGCCCAACTCACTAAATGATCTAAATCTTTTTGTAAATCAGCAGCATCCTCTCCACAGCTAGCAACACCCAAAACCTCAATATTCTCTGCAAACCTAAGTAATTTATTGACTATTACTTCATCTATTTCATTGATGTAAATCAAAATTCAAAATTTGTATTTTCGAAGTTTGTAACCAAAATATCATTATTCGTTATCTCCATATGCAGCAAAGCATTGAACCTAATAGAGCAATGATCACACTTGCACCAGATGTTCCCAATTTCCACCCTCTCGATCATTTCTATATTTGAAGTTAGCAATAAATATAAAATAGCATTGTTTATAATGGGTTCCTTGACTATTTGGGGAAGGAAGCCATCTGAACAGTTTCCAAAAACCTTTCTCCCTCACGGTTTGACTTTAGCATTTCCCAATCTATATGCTTGAAATTAAAATCACCCATTTATATGACTTCATTAACAGCTGAAATCTTAATCTCATAGTAAAGTTTCTCATTAATTTCATCAGTATTATTTGATGGTCTGTAACAAATTCCCACTAAAAGCCTTTTTCCTTTATATCCTCTAATATTCCTACCAGTGCTCCAAAGTCATCTATTTTATTTCATATACTTCTAGCATTACAATTGTAACAATACAGTCTACCCATATAATGACTTCTGTACTCATTTCCTATGTTTTTCTTTAAATTTAGTTTATCCTAGCCCTCACCAATATCTAGTCTCAGTTTAAAACTTCCCTTACAGTTGCGTAGCAAACAAGCCAGCTCCTGTCTTACTTAAATGTAAACCATCCATTCCAAAAAGCAAGTTCCCTTGTTCCACTGAACTGATCCCACAAGTTCAAACAGCCGGTCTGCGCATTCTTACACATTAACCTAAGCCTAGCATTTAGCCCTAGTGACCTACTTATAACTTCATCCCACAGTTAATTCTGTGCAGTATCCCTGACAAAATTAAATTATGACCCTTTTCTTTAAATGCTTTTATCAATCCCTTGTACTTATTAATTAGATTCTCTGACCTACCTTTCCCTACATCATTAGCCCTTAAATGCACTACAAAAACTGCATCTCTGCTAGCGTCTTTATTATATCTCCTGCTCTGCCAGTTATATCCTCCACCAGTGTCGCTGGGTAGCATAATCTGATTCTTTTCTCCCTATTTACCCCACAGACTATCTTATCCACATCCCCTGTCAAGGAATCACCTATAACTATAACCTCCTTATCATCCACATCCTTTTCTGAACCTTTTATTTTCCTTCCCTCCAATAGTTCCTCGTCTGCAGAAGTCAATGGCTGAAACTTGTTACTCGGCCTATTGGTTCATTATAATTAAATTCACTACATTTAGCCGTAATAATAATACTCTATCTAACTTCTTGAAAGTCATTGTATTACTTTCATGTAAAAGTTTAAGCCCCTCTTGAAATTCTTCTGCCATTTCCCACAGTCTACGCTTCTCTTTATCTATTGCCTCTACTTTAATTATGACAGCCTCCAACTTCTCCTCCAAACTCTTCATACAAATT